TTTGCCACATTCCTGTATGAGAACACATTCAACAAAGTCGTCCTGCGAACGAAGAAGCTCTGAAATTTCCAATTCCTGCATCTCAACATTGAAGTTCATATGTCTCTTAGACTAGGATTACGGCTCAACATCCTAATCTACTCCTCAAAGTTCAAAATTCCTTGAATCAATCGCCTTGATAGTGCAACGCTCGCTGGGGAGCTCGATGCCAGCACAAATACTTCGCGGGCAGTATGCGTTAGCCACGCACTTACAACTGAGCTTGTTTTGTTATGTTAATAACAGCCGTGTGGTACGCGCTACAGTCTGCATCATAATTGTTGAGGATACGTGCCCCGCTAATGCACGGTTAACCGAACCGCAGGAACGGTTACTACCGAGCCGTTCTGCTATTGGCAGATCAAGGTACTGGATCGCTATTGGCTCACTACTTCAATGGCTAATGTGATTGGCAGAAGGCAGGCGTCCAAGACGTATGACAAAGCACTTTCAAGAGGGTACGCAGAGGGGGTAGGACAAGTAGGGCTAGTTTAACTGACTTTAATCTACTCACTTCGGCATTTGCCTTCCAAGCGACACATCAACCACAACAATTATTGACTTGAACGGATTTGTTAATAAAGCAAGTCCTGTTGTGACTCCACTTTGGGCCATGACACCCTTTGCTTTGAGGATTTCTCTCTCTCACTCTCACTTTTGTTGCCAACCGTGTAAGTTCCTTGACGAGGCTTGCAATATCAGCTACGTTTTTGTCCCAGTACTACAACATAATAGGAAAGGATCGGGCAGCCCAAATTGCAGGACAGTTGCGTTGGTTTCTCAAAATCGGCACTGTCAATAACCCGGTGGGATAAAGAAAGCTCGCATTTATCCCATGAAAAGCACACCAAATAGATGACCAGCTTAAAATTTCTTGCAGTCGCATGTTGCACGAAGATGTGACCGTCACCGACAGGGTCAACATTCACCTGGGTGATTCAAGAACACTGCAAGTATAATTTATTAGAGGTATTACCAAGTCTCATAATATCGAAACTCTCCGTTCTTGTACAGTTATTAATAAGATTTGTGGTGAATCGTACCATTTAGCTTACGATGCGATGCATTTTTCACATGTATGTGAGGGTATCGAGTTTTAGCAATACTAACCACGATGGACATCAATGTAAAGGGGGTACCAATATAAACTAGAGTATTGGGCTGGTAGTGCTGCAATCCAGCGCGATACAAGTCTCAGAGAGAAGAGCTGAGCTAAATGCAGACGACCTGTAGACGCGGCCCAGCACTGCGTGCAGAACCACTCATCCTCTAAGTGGAGATGCTGAGAAAATGTCATTCCGTCTTAGCAACTCCAAATCCATCATTCATGCACCTTTCCTTGATACGGAGTAATATTAATGTATTTATTTTATTGTACTCTACCAGTAGTAAAATAATAAAATAAAACATAGTAATACAACTGAATGTGCCAGTGCTGCACTTTGAGGTCGTGTTT